CCCCCCCCCCCCCCCACACACACCCACACCCACACATACATACATACATACATCCCTCTATTTCTTCTTCTCTCGTGTATACATACGTTCACTCACACTCTTCATGAAACTTCCACTCATGTGATATGAAGCAAATTGTAACCAATTTTCATTCATGAAGGCATTACTTCTTGTTTCACTTTTTCATAAAATAAAATTATATAATACATGTGGCACTTGCTAAAAACAATATGTATCCGGAAATAGCTGCTGCCCTATGTACCTTAGGGACAAGGTCTGTCTCGGGTACATGGAAGTACATACCCCATAAAGTGGTGAATAAATGGGATAATAATAATCCATGGCATAGCAGCTCTCTGAGAGCCAAAGCAAACTAGCTGGCTGCTGGCCTCATGTTCACATGCCTAAGCAGAGGTGAATGATGATCCAACCAATAGGGTGACGTGTGGTCAGCACGACGAACCCGCAGCCATTGCTAGTTTCCATGACTGTATTATGCTACCCATTGTAGCTCCCCAATTTCCTTATGATGCTGGGTTGGCACTGGTCCCATGCACCCGTCAAAAATCTCATGAGAAATTTCTTTCCCTGAGACTCGAACCAGTGCGCATTCCGTATCACCGGTCCGAAGCATGATGCCTCAAACTGCACGGCTACATGGTATTTGGGAAGTACCATATTGAAATTTCAGCCCAGAGTCTGGCTGCTTTAACTAAGCAAACAAATTAACACAACATGTGAAATCATACTTTGTGAAAAGACAGTGAGTTCATGTTGAGAATTCAATAGATGTTCATCTTGTGGGCAAAGTCCGTGCATTTTTAACAGTTATAGTCAGGTTGTTTTATTTAGTATAAAATGATCATCTGTTTGGATCCAGTGCCAAGAGTGGACAGGCCATGTTATAGTAATGGTGACTGTAAATAGTTTGCTGGGCAATCGTCTACACTTCAGTCTTGTGTCATTCATGGATGCAGATTATTTCATAAGTTATGTTTTTTTTTGTAAAATGCTCTTTTTAATTATCCAGTGTTTAGATGAGATGGGCAACTAGATAGTTAATCCTCAATATATTAATGGAGTCTCTTCTTAATATCTCAGTGCCTGGTGTAACACCTGCCACAAATTTCACCTCAGCAATAGTCCAGCGAACCAACTCAAGTTTCACCATACAGTGGGAACCACCTCAGAATTGCACTTATGCCAATGGATACCTGTATGAATACCGATATGAATTAGTGAGTGTTCATAACTCCCAGCACATCCTGGAGGGGATGACACATCTAACAACAGTCACCTTAACCAACCTCACACCCCACACTCAGTACATGGTGAAGGTGTTCCTGGTGAATTCAAAGGGTTGGAGCTCAAGTCACCCACTGGAGATACATGTCCAGACAAGAGCAACAAGTAAGATTTTAATTTAAGATTAAAGAATTGTTATTTTCAGGGGAACTGACATGTAGATTTGTATCTCTGTTTTAATTTCATTAAGTAGTAGCTATAACTAATGTTGTTATTGTTTTTGGTATGGCTGTCTTTTGTAGAGTCAATTGAATAAAAATTTACTTGGATATTATCCATCATCTAGTAAATATAAAACGTAAAACGACGTTTCGGAGATGGGACTCTATCTCCGTCTTCAGGTTCCTACACAGTTGGGCCCACTAGATAGAGCTAATCCCTACCTCCGGACAAAGTAAAAAAGTGAAAGTCCCGGAATAAAAAGACATCACCACACCATCCATCCGTGGGACGTAAAAGAATAGATAGTAGAAATCAAAATTCATTAAACACGATAAAAAAAATCTGTTATTAAGTCCGAAAAAACATCCGGCCTTCTCCTGACAGAACGCCTCTGGGTACGGCAGTTATCCCATATGTCAGAGGTGTCTCAGAAAAATTTAGAAGAATTGGGAACCATTAGGGCGCAACATGCGTACGAAGAAGATCATGTCTGTTGGGATGGAGCCAGGGTGTTATTAACAGAACCCAATACCGTCTACAGAAAATACAAGGAGGCGGCACACATGGCACTACTCGCCAATCCTATCAGCCAGCCTAGTTTGGATTTATCTCCTATTTGGAAACCTGTCATCTCTGAAGAAGTCCAAGTTGTGCATCGAGTTTCGAATTAATGTTCATGTGTATTTATTCCCACCTTTTGTGAGTTTTTGTTTTTTTGGCTTTATCGTGTTTAATGAATTTTGATTTCTACTATCTATTCTTTTACATCCCACGGATGGATGGTGTGGTGATGTCTTTTTATTCCGGGACTTTCACTTTTTTACTTTGTCCGGAGATAGGGATTAGCTCTATCTAGTGGGCCCAACTGTGTAGGAACCTGAGGACGGAGATAGAGTCCCATCTCCGAAACGTCGTTTTACGTTTTATATTTACTGGATGATGGATAATATCCAAGGAAATTTTTATTCAATTGACTCTTCACCATAGTCAAGAAGTTTTAGATTTGATATGTCTTTTGTGATGTTGCACCAAGTAGTCTGGTATATACTGACTGACACTTAAGAGGATATTACTGCCTTCATCATCATGGTGACTATTAATCTCATCAATTTTATTGTGTTATTTATTACTCTTTAAATGTATGGTTATACTGTGAAGGCATTTCCTGTAGTAAGAGGTCTCTGTGAAACTTGTTAAGTGGTAGTAAAATATTAAATGCTAAGTAACCCATTTCCTACAGTAGAGTCTAACCATATACCTATAAATGTTTGTCTGTTGACTAGCTCCAGATCATGTGGAACAGTTGATGGTATATAAGAAAAGTCGTTGGATGCTTGGAGTGAGGTGGGCTGCTCCAAAACACATGTTTGGCTCACTTGAATCCTTCATAATTACTTATCAGGCAGTGGGATTGAACACCATGAAATCAGTAATAGAACCACTCTCATGTGTAGCATGGCCCCATCTGTACTGCCATACAGCCAATAATCTTAAACAAGATACAGAATACACTGTTTTGGTAAGTAAGGAAACCAAAGACTTTTAATATATAATTTAATCAGTTTGCATACAATGTTAGGTAGAACCAGTGGAAGAAGCTTGCATCTGTTGGGGCAGACATATGAAAACACTGGAGTTGAAAGGCAACCTTACATAGTTATAAAAGTGCACCTAATGAAGTTTGAGGTAGCTTATGTAAAATTCTTGTAGAACCAGTGGATACACATTGAACATCACTACTGAGCGTACTAGTATAGTGTTGCAGCCTGTGAATCATACAACAGATATCACTTCAAATATGTGCTGGGTTACCAGTATACTTCGTGAAGGTTCATGTATTTAGTGATTTTGTGTGACAATTTGACATGATTGCTTATTTCATGCAAGATTAAAATTGGAGGAAAATAATGCCATTTTAATTATTAAAAGTTGCAGATGTAGATAATAGGTACCCATTACACCAATTTTATTTTGGTACAAGCGTATGTATTGGTAATCAATGTGTGGTTGCCTGTGGCAAAGAAATGTTATGGCTTAACATTAATCTGCTTATTTTTTATCCTTACAAAGAGAGGATAGTAGAAATTATACATTAATGACAATTTTCCATGTATAATTTCCACTGGTATATTTCCTGACTATCAACATCTTCTGAATGAACCTGAAACTTAGAAATTTCTGTACATCTATAGGTATCTTTATGATATATATCCATATCAAATTCCACATGTTTTGCTGTTATTGCATTGGTTATTGTTGTTTCATTTACACTAACATACATCTTTATTACATTCCATGGGTCCATAAGATAGTCAGATGACAATGGAATGTGGGAAAAGTCTTAATTATAAAACTAATACAATATATGTTATGAAGTACAATTCATACTATTTTATAAATTTACATAATACAAACACAGGGTAATGGAATAATACATCAGCCTATAATTACATTTACAAAATAGGATTTGATGTTTCTGTTGCAATGTGTGTGTAGATAGTGATCATCTGAGTTTAAATCTGGAGATGTGGGCAGTATGTTCCTCTGAAGACAACCTTTTATGTCTGTGTGAAGTTTCATTACAGCACATAGTTCTTTTTAAAGTTACTTGGGCACGCACATGCAGACATTCTAAAACCACAAGCCTTTGCCATCTTTTAACATAAAAAATTAGGCTGAAAGCAGAAGAATCTCTCTGAATTTATTACAGATGTAATTTATGAATTATATCATTAACCATTTCACAGGTTCAGGCACAGAATTCAGAAGTCGATGAGGCTGGGGAGTCTTCATCAGTGACAGCTGTTACCAAAGAAACAGGTGAGTAATGTACTACACTACCATATGCCTTAAAATATGTCATGTGTCCCTCATACTTTGAATGTTTCAGTAGGCAGTAGGTGTAATACTAAAACAACCAGGATCAGATACACCATGATTATTTGGGGCATCCAGGTATACCATTCTACGAATAGCAAACTCCTGTAACCATGTCACAGGAGTTAAGTCACTTCATGATGACAAAGTTATTTTTTGTGCATAAATGAGACCAGTGCTTATTGCATGTTACTGTTCAGTCTGATAGAAAAACTATAACTATGGGCCATTAGAATGAGGGGATATTATTACATTACATAGCATGGCTATAACATTCTTGCACTTAAAGGTTATTTTAAGAAGATACCAATTTCAGCTTAATATGCTATTTCTACACGCACTGTTGTAGTATACAGTAGAATCTTTGATTGATGAGCATCATTATAATATTTCAATATAAAAAAATATTGTTCATCCTTTACTAACATGTCATATACTATGTATGTTAAATTTTTCAAAATTATTTAAATAAATTCAGTTCAATTGAATTCTTTACTGAAACACCCTATCACCACTGAGAAACAGTTTGTTCAGCTGACAATTTTTTAAGGCGTTACAATGTGTCACCCCTTCCCAAGCAAACCTTGCACTGGTGTTCAGAATTAAAAGATACTCCTGTTTCTTAATAGTTTGTTAAACATGCACTAAATATAAGCAAACACTTCTCTACATGTTTTGTAGTGTAGGCATTAGTAAGATGGTGTGTCAGTTTTGGATTGTATGGATGAAAATCTTACAGAAGTAGAATCTAGTAACTGGTAATGAAATTGGTGGTAATCATAAGTTTTATTGTAAAAGTGATATATCCAGTAGTGAACAACATGATAGACGAGTAAGTGATGTAATGTGAAATGGCTTATGACATTGTGGCTCCTAGGATTCCCCAAATGGCATGATATCTGTGGCAAATTTAATCAAAACACTTCATATATGTGTGCTTGTGCATACAATGCATAACTTTTATAATTTGGAAATAGGGGATTTAAACCTATGTATTATGGGGCTCCCTCAGGGGGTTGCTAGTCCCCCATCGGGCGCCTCCCCAGGTTGCGGATAGGGGAATGCTTCCCAGATATGGGTGGTACCGGGGAAATCAAATACCCGGGGCGAACAAAAACTAGCATAGTGGAGGGCAGCAGTGATCACTATTACCAGCTTGAAGTGTAAAGGAAATGATCCGGGACCGGTTCGAGGCTGGATTACCACAAGCATGGCTGGAGCAGCTTTAATGGTTGTGGTACTGCAATGTGGAAAGCAAATGGAAAAACTATTGTGTTTCATAACATTGAGACAAAGCAACCTTATTCTTAATCTACATTATATTAATTTCATTGTGGTTTCATTTGTTATTTCTGACTCCTTATTTGAGATCAGGAACAGAAATACCTGGAGAGTTTTGAAATGTGGTGTTGGAGAAGAATAGAGAAGATCAGGTGGACGGATCGAGTGACCAACGAAGAAGTATTGAGGAGAGTCAATGAGCAATGAAACATTCTGCAGGCGATTACACGAAGGAAAGCTAACTGGCTTGGACATATTATGAGAAGGAATGGATTGCTGAGTGATATCATCGAAGACCAGGTTGAAGGAAAGCGAAGACTGGGAAGAAGACTGATACAGCTAACCGACGATCTTAAACAAGGATAGAAGATGAAGTTTCAGGATTTAAAACGAGAAGCTGAGAATAGGGAAAACTGGCAAACTCGTTTTGGGCAGAAGAATGGACCTGTCATCAGACAGAACACTAAATAATAATAATAATAATTATGGGGCTACTGGCTTGAAGAAGACAGCCATCTTTAGACTCACTGCCATGAAAACCTCAAATCCTACTTAATTTTTACACCATTATCAGTTGGCACAGACCAACTACAACTGAACCGCACTTGCAACATGTGACCATTTGACCTTGAGCTATAGCATGATCAGGCCTCAGCAGTGATACCATTCATACAACAAAAATATTTAAATATTGCTTACTTTCTTAATGCCTTTTGCATTTTTGTTTTATCAGCTCTTGTTGATTGTACTGCTGCAGACAATATTCCATATGCACATCTGATACTAACTGCTCATTTGACAGCTTCAAAATCTGTAATAATTTTCAGTTTTGTTTCCAAAGTGAGGAGTGCTGTTCACTCCTTAACATTCTCATTTGACTTCACCTACATGGGCAATATGTTGTTAAATAAAATAAATGTGTGAAAAAATTGGCAGAGAACTGGTTTGAAACTTGCCAGTACAAGTGCATTTTAGACTGCTGTTGCTGAATGATAACTGATGTACACGATACATGAAACTGGTGTTGACAAGACAAGCAGAAATCAACAATGGATATATGATTATTATGGTGTTACATAGTGGACAGTAAATACAAAAAAACAACAGATCATGGAGTTGACGGGCATCAAAGGCCCGCTGCATTATTGTCAGTGTTCTGTATTGCTTTCTGACTTGCGTAATCAAGAGTAAATTTTTAAGGAGTCATTATTTCTTGAACAGATGAAACAAATTTATTAAATTCTTCCATTTCCTTGTTACATTTACTTTTTTTGTTTTGGCAACAGGAATGAATTGCAAATGTTGAGTATTTACACGAGACCAGAATGACTGGGCTTCAGTCATGTAGGTGTAGTGTGAAATCAGAAGTGAACAATTTCCTGACCAACGGAATAGTGCATGCACAATCTGAAAGGGATATTCATGCAAGACATATGATCATCAGTTACTGATATGATAGTTTCCATCTGAATCTGTTTTTATTTTGGATGTTTGTTAATTGTCATCTTCATACAACAGTCTATACAAATTAATTTGTTCACTTGGCATATAATTTATTTCATGCAATAACTGATCTACTGTTGTACCAAGTGCATGAATTTATTTGTAAGTAACTGTTGTGTGAAGATCGTAATTAACAAATATTCAAATAGAACCACAACATGATACAGAAATACAATGTATGTTTTGTCTCTGTGTAGCCCCACTGTCACCATCTTTCATCAGAGTTGTGTCACAGTCACAAACCAACCTCACCATAGAGGTGGGACTTCCTGACATGGTGAATGGTAAGCTCAGGTCATTCCTTGTATATGTGGAAGAGACAGATTCGTTCAACTCCACGGAATGTTGCCAGTACTTCCCTGTTCAAGAGGTGGCAGTGCAAGTTGAGAAGAGCAGTTATAATATAGAAGTGAGTTGGTTTAATGTTTTATTATTTTGGAAATGTGTGTTTACTGTGCTTTTCATCTTTCCCACATTGTATACAGATGTTGGCAAAATTTGCTACTTGATACTCAAATCAAGAAAAGTATAATACTCTATCCAGTTTGATGCAGAAATTTAACCCATCCACAGCAAGATTAGAAATTTAAGTGTTTAGTTCCACTTACATGTGATTATAAGTGTACATTTGGCAAATTCTCACAGTTCAAAAACCAGAAGCAAGAGAATAATATACGTTTTATGGATCTAGGTGTATAGCAAAAAAGAATGTTGTCAGAAGTTTTCATGTAAATAATTGAGATGTCATTTAAAGAGAGTTTTATTACTTGTGTATAAATTTTTCGCACTTACAGTATTTAAAATTATTGATTCCCTGCAGATATGTTGTAAGGAGGTTTGGAGACTTTGAAGTTTGAAGGTTTGTGATGATGGTACATTATAATATGTAAAAGTTTCTTTTTTGACTTTTTCCATCATCCAGGTCATAATATAATCTGTTCACCCATTCACAGTTTAAGCATTTAATTGATAACTCTGCTGTTCCTGTTTGTCATGATGTATTTTTGTTTTGCATCTAATCTTGATGGTGTATTCAACATTGTATGCTGCTCTTACTACAGAATTTTTAAACATTTTTGTGATTATTTTAATGTCATTCCCAAAGTAAGTAAATTTGATCCATAAGTTTTCATTGTTTGACTCAAATGGGGGATTTTCAGTGGTAGTTAGGTGTTTAGCTTTCTGTAACATTGTGTAATATCATTAATAATGTACCTGTTATTCACTGCTATCAGATTTATCAGCACAATTTCTATTCACTCAACATTAGAAATTGGCATTTTTTGTTCTCTGTGTAATAGAATGCAGTCTGTTTACAGTTATTCAGGAGACTGGATGACTTGGGTGTTACTGTGTCCATATAAGTTTGTTTTCAGTAGACACCTCATGTAGTAAATTAATTAATTTTTCTGTGTATAATAAGATCTAGGAAATTAATCTGCTGATTAGATTTGGTACCATCTTGTATTTTATTTTTGTTGTCTTCTAGAATTAAAATGTAATGAAATATTACTATAATTCATGCACAGTCAGTAGTGCAGCAGTAATTTTCTCTAATCTATCAAATAAGTGTGGAGTGCTTAAACACATACAGGTGAGTCAAAAGTATGTTTACAAACTTTGTGTGCTTGTTCGTGGATCAAAAATAAGAAAAAATGTTCCTATGAACATGGTTTCGCAACTGTTTCATTTTTGAAATAATAGCCAAAAATAAGTTTCAATGTATGCCTTTATTGCCAAGTATAAGGACAGGGATGTTACTTTATAACAGATGCTCAAAGGTTGCTCCTCCATTCTCCACACATGACCGAGCACGGCGTACAAAAGACTGACGGATTCATTCGTACACACCAGGGTGTCCTCGAATCATCTGGCATGCATTCTGCACATGTTCCCATAGGTCATCATCATTGTTTATGGGTATTGCATAAACGACAGACTTCAAGTGACCCCACAGATAAAAGTTCAATGGAGTTGGGTCCGGTGACCTTGGTGGCCATGCTATTGGGCCACAGTGTCCAATCCATCGCTGAGTGTACTGTTCATCGAGATGATATCTGACACGATGGGAGAAGTGTGCTGGGGCTCTGTTGTGCATAAACCACATCTGTCTTCTTGTATTCAGTGGTACATCTTCAAGGAGACGTGGCAAGTGTCTTCTTAAGAATTGCCAATATGAAAGTCCTCTTAGACGCGATGGAAGCATGTGTGGACCAATAAGCATGTTGCCAACAATTCCTACCCAAACATTAATTGAAAATCTTTGCTGGAAGCTGGATTCACTTTGCCATAAAGTAATTAACTGAAACTTATTTTTCACTATTATTTCAAAAATGAGAAATTTGTGACCCCATGTCCATAGGAACATTTTTTCTTATTTTTGATCCTGGAACACGCACACAAAGTGTGTATACATACTTTTGACTCACTCTGTATACTGATATATTCTTTAAACTCAAACATTCAATTTCAGTTTTAATGTTTGTGTGATTCAGTCACCTGATAATGATGTAGCATTTGTATGATTAAGTATTAATTTAACTTATTTATAGAACCAAATATGTGAATGTGAAGCTGGTGGTGATGGCATCATGAAGTTAATACATGTTTGGCAATGAAGTAAATAAGCAGACAGCAATTGTGGGAAGAGTGGTTGGTTTATGTAACTGTTGTATTCTACTACTACATGGTATGAAGGGTTTTACAATTATTGGTCTGTAAATCCTATTTGTCCTTCAGGGAAACTAAGGATATGTCTGATACCATATCAGAGCAGACTGTGTTGTCATCTAAACTAACCAGTGCTTGGAGGATCTGTATGAAGTCACCGGAGTTTCTGATGAGCGGAGTCTGGATTATGGTTTTGTGTAGATACAGACATTAGGTTATATGGAGAAGGAGGGGGAGAAGCACAGTTAATGACCCTAGTACTGCAGTTGTCTTAAATATGCAACCCTCGTCATGTTTCAGCTTACTAGCAGTCCTGCACTTTGTTTAATGGGGCCTTATTTGAGTTACTTAAATTCATAAAGTGAGTTCCATTATTAATGTAGCATGTTATCCAAATACATTTTTCTACAGTTCACAGGTCTGCGACCAGCTTCTACTTATGCTGTAAGTGTATCAGCAAAGACTGTGTCGCTTGGCCCTGCTGTAAGCATTACAGCTCACACAAGGCCACCTGTTCCATCAATGGATGACATGATTGAGATACCAGACAATTCAAGTTATTTGTCAGGCAGTCTAACGGTATTCCTTCACCCATCTACCATGTACCAGGATCTAATCAGGTTAGTTCTGTGACAGATTTTGTCTGATGGAACAGATTTTGTATACAGTAAGTACATACACTGTATGTATGTGTTTGAGTGTGCACATGTTGAAGCACAATTTGGTTGATTTGGAACATGCCTAGATATTTATATTTTTTCTCACAGAGTAATTTATCAGTATATGAGGTTATAATTTAATTATTGCTTTATATGACTATTTCTAAACAGGCTCAGTATGGTGAAGTATAATTTTCCCAAAACTGACATCTCTCGCTATCTATTGTGTGATTCTTATTTGGGAGCTGATATGGTTGCTGAAAGTGAGGTGGAATACTCGTGGCAGTAAAGAAACTGATACAGAATGAGTGTAGATTATGATTGTACACAAAATTTCAGCTGCTGATATGCTGTGCAAGGTTGCAAAAAAATTGCTCAAACTTGGTATGTATATTTAAAATTCGCACCACCGCGCATGTGCATGACAGCAGCGCGGCATTCACCGGTACGTTGCAGCGGAGGGCGTGGGCCAGGCGCTGGTGAAAGGGCAGTGAAAGACTTGAGAAATGTCTCACACACACACACACACACACACACACACACATGCGCGCACACATTTAATGTGAGCTCAGACAAATGCAACTTATAAGAACAATGTATATATTTACACTGATATAAAATGTTGCTACTTCTAGAAATAATTTTCATGTAGGGCAAGAAGTATAAAACTTAAATCACATCCTTTCTAGCCAGCTTTCTTTCCTTATGGAATCAAGAAAGTAGGCTTTTGAGATCACCAGGCTGTTTGTGTGTGTACTTTGAACCAATTTGCCTATTTCCACAAAACTTGGCATGAACTTTGTCACTGAAGATCATCCCAACATCATGCATTTTAATTAATTCCCTGCATGAACAAGTGAAATTTAAACAATAGCACTACAGTGTAATACTGTATTCTTGAGACTTGCGGGATGTGGAAGTGAGGTGAAGAAGGAAGGAGGAAAGATAGCGCCAGTGTTTAACGCTTCGGATATCCTGCATTACTTGCAAGTCTATAGATTACAGTCGCATACTATACTTGGTATAAGGTATTGAAGTGGTGTATGGTAACAGATACATGAAAAATATGCCACTTTGGTTAAGGAACCTTTTTCAGAACATAAAACAGCAATATGGTGACTACATGGATTGTTTATTTTATATAGAGATTGCATAAACATACCTGAATATTTTTCGTAAATTGACAATAGCAAACATGGTGATGCTACACACCTTTGAGGATCTGCACTTATTGCATAAATTCTGTCCAAAATAACAACAGCAACATATAATGCATGGAAACAACAAAAGATTCTAACTTTACTATGTTTTAGTTACATGGCCCTCTGTAAAACATGTGATTATGATTATTTTTCACTATCAACCACTTTAAAGATGCCTTTTTTGTAACCATATTTTTCCAAGCATCTTGTACATAATGCTACCAGTTGGATAAATTCTTTATTTCTATGGAATGGGTAGATAAGATAGGTTGCTGTTAATTTTTTTTATTGATCCAACTTTTCCAGAATTCTACTTTTGGCACATTCACAAGCTTGAAAAAAATGAGAATGCCATGTTCATCATGTCTGTCTTTCTGTCCTGTGACAAATCAAGCACTGAATTGATGTTATGGGATTTGATATTAGGCATTTGGTTGCACATTTCAGTTTTGGTTAAACTCAGGCTACAGTAATAGTATGTCTATGAAGATGTATATACAATGTGCTAGCATAAGTGATCTAGGAATAACCCTCAGGCAACAGGTGGCCATACAACCATGTGAGGTTATCCCTTGTGATGGATGGTATCACCCAGCCAGCTAGGCACCAGAGATCCCTACCATTCAATGATTATTTAGTGCATACAACTGTGGTATCACTGTCACCATTCATCATGTAAGATCATTGGACACAATACAAATGACCTTGGACTTCAGCCAGTTACCTTACATCTAGGATCATGGACTCCGAGTTTTGGCATTAGATCAGGCAATTTCCAGTAGACTTTTTTCCCATAGGTATCAATGGAATATGAGAAGTATTTTATGGTATGAAGGGCTAAAATTCAAACCCTGACTTGCTATATACATGATTCTGCAATGTTTGAGAGGCAACATAAATATGATAGGCAGGTTTGATCAGCAGTGTGGGAGATGGCTGTTACTGTAACACACATAAACAGTACTTTCATTATTTTAAATATTCAGGGTGAGTCAGAAGTATGTTTTCATACTTGTGTGCATGTTCCAGAATCAAAAGTAAGAAAAAATGTTCCTATGGACATGGGGTCGTAAATGTTTCATTTTCGAAATAATAGCCAAAAATAAGTTTCAATGAATTGACTTTATATCAAAGTGAATCCAGCTTCCGGCAAAGATTTTCAGTTAACGTTCGGGCAGGAATTGTTGGTGACATGCTTATTGGTCCACACATGCTTCCATCGCGTCTAAGAGGACCTTAATATCGGTGATTCTTAAGAAGACACTTGTACTTTTGTACGTCGTGCTCGGGCATGTGTGGAGAACGGAGGAGCAACCTTTGAGCATCTGTTATAAAGAAACATCCCTGTCCTTATACTTGGCAATAAAGGCATACATTGAAACTTATTTTTGGCTATTATTTCGAAAATGAAACATTTGTGACCCCATGTTCATAGGAACATTTTTTATTATATTTGATCCTGGAACACGCACACAAAGTTTGTAAGCATACTTCTGACTCACTCTGTATTACAGTAAGGAATCTGTATAGGATATTTTGGTAAGATACAGGAGTAAATAAAGCTGTTTATCATTATTGTTAGTTATAAGCTTAGTAATATTCTTTTTGGTGTGTATTAGACGTTTGCTGGGACATGCTATGGCCTTGAGATGTGCAAAATTTGCAGCTTGAACAGTGGGTGGGGTGTAAGCGGAGCCCAATTACAAGCGAGCCGTGACTGAGTTCACTTCATGTATTGAGTTCCATTTCAATAACATTGGCCTTTTATAATTAGGACTGTCATTCTCACTGTTGTTTCTACTCTGTATGAGCAGAATGCAATGCGATGGCAGAGGTGTGAAGAAAATAGGGGGATGTAAGCCAAAGTAGAGAAGTGGTGATAAGTATTTGCAGTTTTATGAATAAAGAAGCTGTCAGTGGCAATATGATTAACGTTATCAAATACAAAATCGTTTTTGAAGCTACTGGTGTGTCCATAAGTACTCTGAAATGCATTTTAAAAGATTATGAACATAATAAACGAGTGGGGAAAAAATTCAGCACACCTCACAAGAAGGAAATTTAAAATTAATGTAGTTGATTTTGACAATTTCGAAGAACGATTAATGAATTTCACACTACACAAGGTGAGTGTCCAACTTTAAAAACATTATTAGCAGTGATCAAGAAAAAAGATTAACTTCAGTGGCGGGAAATGGACTCTTTGGAAAATAATGAGAGATTTAGGCTTCAGGTGGAGGAAATCGGAAAGTAATAGAAACGTTCTCATCAAAAAGGATGATATTCGTGCAGCAAGACTGGCATATTTGAGAAATATAAGTCGTTAACAGAAATGAGGGGCACCCCATCATCTGGTTTACCTTTGGTGTTAAATGATGGTAGCTTGGATGATATCTATCAACTATGTTCCACTCTCCATGGATGTCACTGAGAAAACTTTTCTAACATGTAATATAACATTTTTTGTTGTATGTTTCAATGTAATTTATTTTTTGACAAATAGAACATGACTTTTCAGTCATTCAGTTATACAGAGGGATCAAAAAGTCATGCAACTCATTCCTGACTGAAATAAGTACCATTGGCAGTTCAGTATTTTTAGAACAGATAGTATAGTTACCTCCACATGGGTGGACAGAAGAGGGAGGGCGGGAGTGTTTATTTTGCCTCTAAAACACTGTGGAATCAGGTATACACAGAATGCTAAAAGACTATATTGCACATTGCTTCATCTCTTTATAACAGAATAAATGTTCCAGAACTGTTGCATTATGCATACATTTCATAACTTCTTTCTTCAGCTTTTTATCACATTCTACTTTTATGTGAACTTGTACTGAGTATTAGGCCATAATTCTCTGTGGAAGTATAGTGTAAAGGAATGGCAGATGGACAGACACTTGCAAATATGTATACATTGGTCTTATTCTATAAAACACTTGTGTTGCTGTTTTATGTATTTTCAGTACATGGTATTGACTTCAGATATGTATGTCAAATTTGATAATTTTTAAAAGAAAAAGATATGCAACACTATCCATATTGTATCTCATACTGTTTAAATTCTGTGGCTATTAACAAATGGAGTGAACACACAATTACAAATGTGTCTTCATAATTTCTTTTATAAGAAGGATTTGTAAGTGTAATGAGATTAGCTAGTGCTTAATTTCCATTCTATTTGTGGTATTGACATTTTTCTACCATTCCATATTCTGCTGTCTGCATATATGATTTAATACCGTTTTTTTCAGTCTTATTTGAAATTGAAAGTGTACAGGAAAAAGGGAATATGATTAATAATGTATAACAGGTTTATTTTCTTGAGAAAATTTAAGAAACCTGTTCAGCTATAAGTGGTGCAGTTAATAAAATTACATAAAATAATAATAATTCATTGTCTACTCTCATTACTGCTATATAGTGTACACCATAGGACAGAAAATTATTAAAACACAACCGTGTGGTATTACAATATCCTGTAGAGTTCGTTATGGAAATGTATATGTACCTGTAATTCTGTGTGGAAAATATATCATTGTTGTAATTTCAGTGGGTGCTTACTGCTTGTGTTGCCACAGTCCAGTGAAGTTGAGATACCAAAAACATTAATTTTTGATGAGTGGTTGACTCAGGAGGTCAACAATCGTTCAAATGGAACATACTATTTTTCAGCTGAGTTTGATCAGGTAAGTTACTTTTATCTGTTTATTTATCATCAGCAGAGAGAAGCTGTCCACTTACAGGAGGTTTACACAATGTAATATAGAACATGAATGCTCTATGAAGAAAGAAGAACAAAAGAATTAAGTATTTATTAATACAGTACATATAAAATAATGTGAAAATGCTTTTTCTGAATATTTAATAATGAAAAATAGACCAACTATGAAAGCTGTGCACTCATTGTCTAGAGAAAAATTATCTAATATTGTTTTAAACTTCATAATCCAACACTTCCACAAGTTATAGGACATACAAATAAACTTAAAAACTCTAAACACAACAAATCACAGACTAAAATCAAGTTTTGGCTATTCCATTGCACCACCCTTATATGAATTATGCATTTTAAGCAATAGCAAGTACTTGAACAAAAATGTTTTGGGATGTGATAAGAAAACAGTTCCTATCATTAAAATATAATTTCTCAAGGAAAGCACTATTATCTTTTCACTTTCTCTGTAATTGTTGTGTACATAATACAGAATGCGGCCTAGTCCATTGACAATTTTCAGAGATTTAAAACTCAGTACATGTTGAAAGTATCGAATGGTATATTTGAAGTAAGGCGTTAACAATAAACTACCAACGTAAGTAGTCTCTACAATGTATGTGCACTTCGGCAGTGCTTGCTCATATTTACACACAAGTAGTTCCATCAGTCATGTTTCATTTCTTTTGTCCTGACACCACAGCTTTTACAGAATGGCTTCTGGTTTTACCATCATTACTCACAGGAACACAAGGGATGACATCTGAAAAAGTGCTATACAAATGATATTTTACAAGGGAAACAGTTTACTAAGTTCATTAAATCCATCCAAATTAATTACTGTGTACCATCGTCTGTGCTGTGTGAAATATTAATCTTTACTGGCCAAACATCTCAGCTTACATACAGTGAAACTGACTGTGTGTTATAGTAGCACACCACTGAATTATTAAATCCTAGGTGGGATTTGATGTTTTCACAGTGGTCAGTCTGAAGATGGCTGTCTTCTGGGTTGTTGCACTGTGTAGTCCAGTAAAAGTTTACAAACGTTTCAGAAGTCCTCGCTGCCTCCAACATCTGGGCGATGAGTAAGCCACGTGTGTAGAAATGGTTTGAGTTATAGGAGACTGATGGTCAAGGAAGAGCCTTGGCTTAACCAGTGAGGACTGGAGTCATGATTGAGCGAGGTCCTGGGGACTAATAGGAGTGCAAACCCCCCCACACACACACACACACACACACACACATGCGCGCACACATTTAATGTGAGCTCAGACAAATGCAACTTATAAGAACAATGTATATATTTACACTGATATAAAATGTTGCTACTTCTAGAAATAATTTTCATGTAGGGCAAGAAGTATAAAACTTAAATCACATCCTTTCTAGCCAGCTTTCTTTCCTTATGGAATCAAGAAAGTAGGCTTTTGAGATCACCAGGCTGTTTGTGTGTGTACTTTGAACCAATTTGCCTATTTCCACAAAACTTGGCATGAACTTTGTCACTGAAGATCATCCCAACATCATGCATTTTAATTAATTCCCTGCATGAACAAGTGAAATTTAAACAATAGCACTACAGTGTAATACTGTATTCTTGAGACTTGCGGGATGTGGAAGTGAGGTGAAGAAGGAAGGAGGAAAGATAGCGCCAGTGTTTAACGCTTCGGATATCCTGCATTACTTGCAAGTCTATAGATTACAGTCGCATACTATACTTGGTATAAGGTATTGAAGTGGTGTATGGTAACAGATACATGAAAAATATGCCACTTTGGTTAAGGAACCTTTTTCAGAACATAAAACAGCAATATGGTGACTACATGGATTGTTTATTTTATATAGAGATTGCATAAACATACCTGAATATTTTTCGTAAATTGACAATAGCAAACATGGTGATGCTACACACCTTTGAGGATCTGCACTTATTGCATAAATTCTGTCCAAAATAACAACAGCAACATATAATGCATGGAAACAACAAAAGATTCTAACTTTACTATGTTTTAGTTACATGGCCCTCTGTAAAACATGTGATTATGATTATTTTTCACTATCAACCACTTTAAAGATGCCTTTTTTGTAACCATATTTTTCCAAGCATCTTGTACATAATGCTACCAGTTGGATAAATTCTTTATTTCTATGGAATGGGTAGATAAGATAGGTTGCTGTTAATTTTTTTTATTGATCCAACTTTTCCAGAATTCTACTTTTGGCACATTCACAAGCTTGAAAAAAATGAGAATGCCATGTTCATCATGTCTGTCTTTCTGTCCTGTGACAAATCAAGCACTGAATTGATGTTATGGGATTTGATATTAGGCATTTGGTTGCACATTTCAGTTTTGGTTAAACTCAGGCTACAGTAATAGTATGTCTATGAAGATGTATATACAATGTGCTAGCATAAGTGATCTAGGAATAACCCTCAGGCAACAGGTGGCCATACAACCATGTGAGGTTATCCCTTGTGATGGATGGTATCACCCAGCCAGCTAGGCACCAGAGATCCCTACCATTCAATGATTATTTAGTGCATACAACTGTGGTATCACTGTCACCATTCATCATGTAAGATCATTGGACACAATACAAATGACCTTGGACTTCAGCCAGTTACCTTACATCTAGGATCATGGACTCCGAGTTTTGGCATTAGATCAGGCAATTTCCAGTAGACTTTTTTCCCATAGGTATCAATGGAATATGAGAAGTATTTTATGGTATGAAGGGCTAAAATTCAAACCCTGACTTGCTATATACATGATTCTGCAATGTTTGAGAGGCAACATAAATATGATAGGCAGGTTTGATCAGCAGTGTGGGAGATGGCTGTTACTGTAACACACATAAACAGTACTTTCATTATTTTAAATATTCAGGGTGAGTCAGAAGTATGTTTTCATACTTGTGTGCATGTTCCAGAATCAAAAGTAAGAAAAAATGTTCCTATGGACATGGGGTCGTAAATGTTTCATTTTCGAAATAATAGCCAAAAATAAGTTTCAATGAATTGACTTTATATCAAAGTGAATCCAGCTTCCGGCAAAGATTTTCAGTTAACGTTCGGGCAGGAATTGTTGGTGACATGCTTATTGGTCCACACATGCTTCCATCGCGTCTAAGAGGACCTTAATATCGGTGATTCTTAAGAAGACACTTGTACTTTTGTACGTCGTGCTCGGGCATGTGTGGAGAACGGAGGAGCAACCTTTGAGCATCTGTTATAAAGAAACATCCCTGTCCTTATACTTGGCAATAAAGGCATACATTGAAACTTATTTTTGGCTATTATTTCGAAAATGAAACATTTGTGACCCCATGTTCATAGGAACATTTTTTATTATATTTGATCCTGGAACACGCACACAAAGTTTGTAAGCATACTTCTGACTCACTCTGTATTACAGTAAGGAATCTGTATAGGATATTTTGGTAAGATACAGGAGTAAATAAAGCTGTTTATCATTATTGTTAGTTATAAGCTTAGTAATATTCTTTTTGGTGTGTATTAGACGTTTGCTGGGACATGCTATGGCCTTGAGATGTGCAAAATTTGCAGCTTGAACAGTGGGTGGGGTGTAAGCGGAGCCCAATTACAAGCGAGCCGTGACTGAGTTCACTTCATGTATTGAGTTCCATTTCAATAACATTGGCCTTTTATAATTAGGACTGTCATTCTCACTGTTGTTTCTACTCTGTATGAGCAGAATGCAATGCGATGGCAGAGGTGTGAAGAAAATAGGGGGATGTAAGCCAAAGTAGAGAAGTGGTGATAAGTATTTGCAGTTTTATGAATAAAGAAGCTGTCAGTGGCAATATGATTAACGTTATCAAATACAAAATCGTTTTTGAAGCTACTGGTGTGTCCATAAGTACTCTGAAATGCATTTTAAAAGATTATGAACATAATAAACGAGTGGGGAAAAAATTCAGCACACCTCACAAGAAGGAAATTTAAAATTAATGTAGTTGATTTTGACAATTTCGAAGAACGATTAATGAATTTCACACTACACAAGGTGAGTGTCCAACTTTAAAAACATTATTAGCAGTGATCAAGAAAAAAGGTTAACTTCAGTGGCGGGAAATGGACTCTTTGGAAAATAATGAGAGATTTAGGCTTCAGGTGGAGGAAATCGGAAAGTAATAGAAACGTTCTCATCAAAAAGGATGATATTCGTGCAGCAAGACTGGCATATTTGAGAAATATAAGTCGTTAACAGAAATGAGGGGCACCCCATCATCTGGTTTACCTTTGGTGTTAAATGATGGTAGCTTGGATGATATCTATCAACTATGTTCCACTCTCCATGGATGTCACTGAGAAAACTTTTCTAACATGTAATATAACATTTTTTGTTGTATGTTTCAATGTAATTTATTTTTTGACAAATAGAACATGACTTTTCAGTCATTCAGTTATACAGAGGGATCAAAAAGTCATGCAACTCATTCCTGACTGAAATAAGTACCATTGGCAGTTCAGTATTTTTAGAACAGATAGTATAGTTACCTCCACATGGGTGGACAGAAGAGGGAGGGCGGGAGTGTTTATTTTGCCTCTAAAACACTGTGGAATCAGGTATACACAGAATGCTAAAAGACTATATTGCACATTGCTTCATCTCTTTATAACAGAATAAATGTTCCAGAACTGTTGCATTATGCATACATTTCATAACTTCTTTCTTCAGCTTTTTATCACATTCTACTTTTATGTGAACTTGTACTGAGTATTAGGCCATAATTCTCTGTGGAAGTATAGTGTAAAGGAATGGCAGATGGACAGACACTTGCAAATATGTATACATTGGTCTTATTCTATAAAACACTTGTGTTGCTGTTTTATGTATTTTCAGTACATGGTATTGACTTCAGATATGTATGTCAAATTTGATAATTTTTAAAAGAAAAAGATATGCAACACTATCCATATTGTATCTCATACTGTTTAAATTCTGTGGCTATTAACAAATGGAGTGAACACACAATTACAAATGTGTCTTCATAATTTCTTTTATAAGAAGGATTTGTAAGTGTAATGAGATTAGCTAGTGCTTAATTTCCATTCTATTTGTGGTATTGACATTTTTCTACCATTCCATATTCTGCTGTCTGCATATATGATTTAATACCGTTTTTTTCAGTCTTATTTGAAATTGAAAGTGTACAGGAAAAAGGGAATATGATTAATAATGTATAACAGGTTTATTTTCTTGAGAAAATTTAAGAAACCTGTTCAGCTATAAGTGGTGCAGTTAATAAAATTACATAAAATAATAATAATTCATTGTCTACTCTCATTACTGCTATATAGTGTACACCATAGGACAGAAAATTATTAAAACACAACCGTGTGGTATTACAATATCCTGTAGAGTTCGTTATGGAAATGTATATGTACCTGTAATTCTGTGTGGAAAATATATCATTGTTGTAATTTCAGTGGGTGCTTACTGCTTGTGTTGCCACAGTCCAGTGAAGTTGAGATACCAAAAACATTAATTTTTGATGAGTGGTTGACTCAGGAGGTCAACAATCGTTCAAATGGAACATACTATTTTTCAGCTGAGTTTGATCAGGTAAGTTACTTTTATCTGTTTATTTATCATCAGCAGAGAGAAGCTGTCCACTTACAGGAGGTTTACACAATGTAATATAGAACATGAATGCTCTATGAAGAAAGAAGAACAAAAGAATTAAGTATTTATTAATACAGTACATATAAAATAATGTGAAAATGCTTTTTCTGAATATTTAATAATGAAAAATAGACCAACTATGAAAGCTGTGCACTCATTGTCTAGAGAAAAATTATCTAATATTGTTTTAAACTTCATAATCCAACACTTCCACAAGTTATAGGACATACAAATAAACTTAAAAACTCTAAACACAACAAATCACAGACTAAAATCAAGTTTTGGCTATTCCATTGCACCACCCTTATATGAATTATGCATTTTAAGCAATAGCAAGTACTTGAACAAAAATGTTTTGGGATGTGATAAGAAAACAGTTCCTATCATTAAAATATAATTTCTCAAGGAAAGCACTATTATCTTTTCACTTTCTCTGTAATTGTTGTGTACATAATACAGAATGCGGCCTAGTCCATTGACAATTTTCAGAGATTTAAAACTCAGTACATGTTGAAAGTATCGAATGGTATATTTGAAGTAAGGCGTTAACAATAAACTACCAACGTAAGTAGTCTCTACAATGTATGTGCACTTCGGCAGTGCTTGCTCATATTTACACACAAGTAGTTCCATCAGTCATGTTTCATTTCTTTTGTCCTGACACCACAGCTTTTACAGAATGGCTTCTGGTTTTACCATCATTACTCACAGGAACACAAGGGATGACATCTGAAAAAGTGCTATACAAATGATATTTTACAAGGGAAACAGTTTACTAAGTTCATTAAATCCATCCAAATTAATTACTGTGTACCATCGTCTGTGCTGTGTGAAATATTAATCTTTACTGGCCAAACATCTCAGCTTACATACAGTGAAACTGACTGTGTGTTATAGTAGCACACCACTGAATTATTAAATCCTAGGTGGGATTTGATGTTTTCACAGTGGTCAGTCTGAAGATGGCTGTCTTCTGGGTTGTTGCACTGTGTAGTCCAGTAAAAGTTTACAAACGTTTCAGAAGTCCTCGCTGCCTCCAACATCTGGGCGATGAGTAAGCCACGTGTGTAGAAATGGTTTGAGTTATAGGAGACTGATGGTCAAGGAAGAGCCTTGGCTTAACCAGTGAGGACTGGAGTCATGATTGAGCGAGGTCCTGGGGACTAATAGGAGTGCAAACCTGCCTTGGACACCTTCCTGCCCAATTTGACCATGACCTTCAACTGAATCTGCAGGCTGCTATCTAGGTACAACTTCAAGTCTGTGGGGCTTCCCCTGAAGGAAGAACCCTGGTTTTTTTTCAGCCTGTGAATGATGACCTGGGAATCAAAACTCCTGGTGTGTATAGCATGCCCTACAAGTGTGGTGAAGTCCACATTCAGTAGATCAGCAGTTTTATGAGACCAGAAATAAGGAGCACCAGCACATCTGGCTGGGGTAACCAGATAAATCTGCCATGGCTGAACACAGCATCAACCTAGGCCTCTGCATTCATCAAGACAACAAAATTCTGTCCACCAAATCCAGAATGATCATGCAGGCCATCAAGATCGAGCTACATCCAAACAGCTTGAACAGGGAGGATGAACTTTGCCCCAGCCAGTCATGGAAGCCCCCCTCATCCACTTTCTCAAAGGATATAGGAAGCATTCCATTCAGCATTGCCAATTATGCCAGGGCCACAGCCACTACACTGTCCATTTCAGGGCACTTCTGTCCCAGGCCAGTCCTCATTTTCACTCCTTGTTCCTCCTCGTCATATCCACCCACCTCACTTATGTCCAGTGATCCACCAGCCGGATCCTTTTAAAGGCCGCTTTCTCAATCTCTTTTTCTTCCTCTCCTGCTCCCATTGGATCCCAGGCCCTAGGCCCTCACCCAATTCTAACTTCAGTCCCCACTGGTTAGCCCAAGGCTCCTCCTTCACTGCCAGTCACCTATAACTCAAATCGTTTGCCCTGATGATGGAAGAAGCAAGAACTTCTGTAATGTTGGTAAACTTCTACCAGACTATATGGTGCAACAACCCAGAAGACAGCTATCTTCCATTAAATCCTATATTTCAAGTCTGGCCAGTAGCCTGCAGTAGAGGGATTTTCACCCCCTATTCCTGTATTGTAAAGGTTATTCATTTCATTGAACTACTAAACTGTCTGTTGTTCTTCTAGGTGGATCTCAAAGAAAATTCTGAGGTCACTGTTGGCACTGGACATGGTTTGAAGGTGGGGAAGTGGGGTGAGATGCAGGACCCAGTATTGAAGATTGAGATGGGTTATCGCTTGGGTCTGGTGTTAATCCTCGAGTACAATGGTGTTTACAGTGTGGGATACACTGAGACACATGATTTTTATATAGATTATTAATCGAATCATAACTTTTTGATACTAAAATGATTAATCATATTCAGAGACATAGCTGTGAATGAATATTTTCATATCTGTGTATAAACTGCTTTCCTCGATACTATTACCATTATAAATTACTTATGTGCTTTACATAGATATCTGAATTTTCAGCATAAGAGATCATATGTAAGTGAAAATAACTCATTTTTATGAATTAAATAGTTTTTAAAATTCATATATAAGACAATCACATGTCTATAATCAAGAACTCAGGTCCCTGAATTCCACAAAACCTTGCTTAAACATCTTGATTCTGAAGGTTTGTGACAATGGTGCGTTGTTGAAGCAAACTATCTTCTGGACATTTTCCATTGTCCCTTACCTCCCACAGATATGTGTTGTGCCGCTTAGCTTACATACCATGACTTTCACTTCTGCTATGTCTATCGATTGGGTCCAACAGAGTAGGTTTTACCTGAAGACAGAGATAGACTCCAATCTCTGAAATGTAGTGTTTTATTATTTATATTTAATCTGTGGTTGATGGATAATGTCTAGAAAATACGAGGCGCGTCCACAAAGTAAGTTTCCCACTCGTACCACAGCTAGCAAACCTTATATTGCGCGAAGCGACCGGACAGCGAGTCTCCTGCAGGAGTTCAGCTGGGAGGTGTTTGATCATTCACCCTACAGCCCGGACCTCGCTCCCAGTCATTTCCATCTTTTCCTACACCTCAAGAAATTCCTGTCCGGTCAGCGTCAGCGTTTTGAGAATGACAGAGAGGCGGAGATGGTTGTCACACAGTGGTTCCAATCCCAGGCGGCAGACTTCTACGACACAGGTATTCCAAAGTTGGTCCCACGGTATGACAAATGTCTCAATTCCGGTGGCGAATATGTTGAAAAATAGCTGGACACTTGCTGTATCTGTTGCAATAAATATTTCCATGAAATTGTTTTTTGTTTCTGTAAACAGCCCCAGGGAAACTTACTTTGTGGACGAGCCTCGTAGTTTGCTTCAACTTGCTTAGACATTTTTTACTTATTGCTAATCTTCCCTTTTATTATACTGTCATTTAGACATGGCCAATCTTATTGTCTTCTTCTCGGGCTACCAGCCACGTCTGATCGTTCCGTGGAGAGAAAACAAACATTTAGAGAACCATCTTTATCCTCATCCTCGGTACCCAGAGGATGAGAAGAATTCATTATACTTGGTCGCCATGAAACCTTCAGATCATACATGGCCATTCTTAAGTATAGGGTTGGGAGCCATGATTAATAATGATGAATATAGAGAGATCCAAAGAAGGCTAATGTTGGCCAATAAGGCCTACTTTTCATTAGTGGCAGTGATGAAAAGTGGAGATATACACAGGAAAACGAAGATACTGCCGTATAAAACCTTAATTCACAATGTTCTTATGTATGGCTGTGAAAACTGGGTGCTGTCCCAGAAATCAGAAAATGCCCTGAGAGTGTTTGAAAGAAAAATACTACAAAGGATTTGTGGCCCAGTTAAAGACAATGACCAGTGGAGGGCAAAATATAACAGGAGTTATATGCGCTATATAAAGATCTTGATCTTGTAATGTGCATTGAATTAAAAAGACTGTAATGGGCAGGGCATATTCAAAGGATGGATGGCACAAGAACCCTTAAGATAGTCCTAAATGCTAAGTTTGAAGGGACAAGAACGGTGGGAAGACCTAGAGGAAGGTGGGAAGATGCTGTGAGATGAGATGCTGCCAGTCTGATCCAATGTTGAAATTGGAAAATGGCTGCAAATAATAGATCTTCATGGAGGCAGAAAAAGAGGAGGCCAAGGCCCGATATGGGCTGTAGAGCCATTGGATGGATGGATGGACGGGCAAGTGTCACTGTCAAATGGTTAGCTCTTTTGCATTGTATTGGGTAGTTCTAGCCTAATCTTGTCTTGGAGAACAGCTATCCTGAGCTTGTACATGACTTTCCTCAGTCCTTTCTGGAACAGAATGGCAGAACAGACTGTTACATTGTTAGATCACTTGTGGTTCAGTTTTTTATAATTCGCAGAAGAAAATTAACATTTCACTGTCTTCTTTTATTATACAGTGTGATTGAAAAGTCATGCAACACATATTATTCATTGATGGTTACAATTCAATTGGATTAATTTACACAATATCACTGTGACTAAATCGAGCCTACGCAGGTCACATCATCCTGTAACTGGCTTGCACCAGTCTGTCTTTTATCTGCAAGAAAATTGCAAGGATGTCTTCTTCATTAAATGAATAATACCCGACATATCATTATGTTGCCGGACTGTATTATGGACAAATTTCCTGACTCCTGTGCCAAACTCATTTGACTACTTTTTCTGGTGAACTGTTTCTAGGCACAGGAAGCATGCAGGATAGAAACCATTCCATTGTATCCAACATAAGAAAAAAAAAGAGTAGATGCATATATCACTGGATGTAGTGTACATTTCCAACACTTAATATAACATTGTCTTTCTACTAGCTTCAATATAATTTTTATTTTGATAGAAATAACGCATTAAGAATGGGTTACATGACTTTTTGATCACCCTGTTTTTTGTATACTTCCAGCTTCAGGTGATAGTGAAATGAAGTGGACATTTTAAATTGGGTCATGACCACATTCTTCCAGATCCTTCTCATTTCATTAACCATTCTATAATTCGAGATGTCGACAGAGCTGTTAAGTAAGTTCTAAACAAATATGATTGAACTTGGTATTAACCTACCGCATGTAGGGAATATGATATGTCTGTCATCAGGGATTTATTTACAAGGTATGTGTCCCAGTGTGTAATCTACCAGAGATGGGAGTAGATTGAAAGTCAAGGCAAATTATGAACAAATTAACTTTAGGTAGGATCTGTTATGGTGGATGTTTATTGTAGTCCATGTTCCATATCACTTTTTTGATAGTATGAATGTGCAGTCCAAAATCGGGTGACACTTGGAACAGACGTACCCTACAGTCAGAATCGTTCATAGTAATGTTGATGGTCTTCACTGATTAAATTTACTTGCTTAAGTTAAAAGAATTTTGAAGTCGCAAAGATAATTGATTTTCATACCATTTCGGTGTAGATTTATAGTTACGTGGTAAGGAACTGATGATGGCTTATGTGCATTGAATGGACTATGATTCAAAAGCTGACTGAACTGATGACTTGAACAAATGCTGAGTTGCACTACTGACACCAAACTCATATTGGCATCTAAAAGGGCAATTTAAAAATTATCCAGAATTATTTTCTTCTACAATTTATTTGTTTTGAACATTTACAGTTAATCATTTTTCTACATAGACTCCCTACTTCCAAATACACTTTAATCCAGCAGTCCACAAGTTCTTTTGTACCTTAAACATTTTTTTGGATGAGATAGCAGCCAGCCATTCATTGCTTCCTTCACTTTGTCATCTGAAAATCAGGGAACTCTCAACACCACCACCTCTGCCCAAACATGAAAATCAAGGTGCAGTGTGGTTGAAAGCTTCAAGTTTCAGTTTCTGATAGTTATTCTTGGTATAAGCAGAAAAATGAAGACAGGAATTGTTATGCAACAAAAGACACACTACACCAATCTTCCTCACTGAGCAGATAAACACCTGTGCATTTCAACTCCTTTCACACACACACACTCCACCCATAAAAACAAACCACAGCAACTGTTTTTCCTTTGTGCAAATTAACAGCAGTGCAGCCATGTTTACAGTCCAAATGTAACCGATGTGCTGAGTCCGAGGTCACCCGAAGCGATGTTTTGACACACTGAGTTTTAATGTTATGAACTGTTATTGGTGTACCTTCCTCCTGTTGCAGGTAAGAAAAAACTGGTTATTTTAATTACCTTTGTAATTTCATGTACTTTTCCCAAATTTTAAATTTTGAATACTGGTTCATTATCCTGTGCACATGCTTGGCTGTCATAGACTGATCAATCTAACCTTGTATTAGGAAAGAGCTTTTCCTACTGGTCTGTCCAAATTTAATATAATTGGTGGCTTATTGATAATGCTGTTGCCCAGCATGTGTGAAAGAGGTGGGATCTGACTACCTTGAGATCCAACAAAGTCTGAATCAGGATCCCCTTGAAAACATTTTTGCTTCTATTTGTTTAGATTATAGCTCAAATAATAATAATTCATATGTGAAGCAGTTTGTAGATGTTCTGAAGAGCAGCACTGTCAGTTGCTTTCCTTCTACAGGTCTATGTGACACTTCATTTAGGGAATCTTGTGCTTCTCCAACAGGTCTATCCATAAATCATGGTAGGGCCACCTAAGATGATATATTTGCAGATATGTTGTGGGGCAAGTACAACAGAATATGGATGCATGTGAAAATGTTCTCAGTATTATGGAAGTGATTTCACTGCCAGAAAACTGCTTTCTGGTGTTAACTGTGATGAAGACGAGGCATGTCTGATGTGTGAAGTGATGCTGGCAACCAGTGCCTTCATATATTTCAAAGAGTACAATGATACAGAAGTATGTCGCCTCTCCACCTGATTTTGTCTGTTAGAGCCATCTAGTAGAGAATCAGGATAGGAGAAATAGCTGCTGAATTTTGCTTACAAAACATCTTATTAGGTTCTTTTACATGCTGTAAATCTATGATGTGGGACCGCCGGCTTTACTTCCACGCCTAAGGAAGTTGTGCTACAGATTTTGGTCACCCTTGTAAGGCATTTTGATTTTGTTTGGAATACCAAAGAAACTTGTTAGGTTAATTAAGGTGTGCATGGATGGGGAATCTAGTAGAGTTCATATAGGTAACCTTCTGCTGGATCCTTTCCCAGTGCAAAATGGCCTCAAATGGGGATGCTTCATCCTCAGTGCTTTTTAATTTTGCTCTAGACAATGTCATCAGGAAGGTCAGAGGGAATCAGGAAGGGCTTGAATTGAATGGTGTGCACCAGGTACTTGCCTATGCTGATGATGTCAATTTGCTGAGGGATGATGTGGGTACCATAACCAAGAATGCAGAAACTTTCCTACAAACTAGCAAGGAAACAGGCCTAGAAGTAAATGTAGACAAAACTAAATACATGGGTGTAATACAGAATCAACATCAGCAACAAAGGCGGTACTTAATTGTAACACATCTTTTGACGAAATTAAGAGGATACATTCAGGGAAAGCTTTTTTATTCCATTCAAAAACAGTTATCATCCTGTTTACTATCCAAAACACTGAAGATCAGGATATACAAAACAATAATTTTGCTGGTGGTTTTGTATGGTTGTGAAACATGATCTCTTACTTTGAAGGAAGAATGCAGATTTCAAGTGTTGGGAATCCTTTTGGAACACCACCACTGGGAAGATCGAGAAGGAGAAAGAAGGATAACATCAAGATGGATGTTAGGGAGGTAGGCTGTGAGGATGGCAAATGGAGTTGGCTCGTGGAAGGTGGCTGGCTTTGCTGTCGTGAGGGTTCTGCTACCAGGGAGTTAGTTAAAAATCCATCAACCTCGGCCAGGTTTGAACCCGCAAACCTTGGGTTCAGTGGTGAGCATGCTAACCTCTAGTCAAACAAGGGTGACATTAATGTTATCACAAATGACATTAATGTTATCACAAATGACAAATTCTGCTGTAGGTTTATAAAAATAATTTAAAACGCTCTCTGACTTGTTTAAGAAAAGTTTGAAATCACCTGAGAGCTCTGTATATAGCTAGGACATGTATGTTGAAGAGTTTAGATTCCAACTGCATAACAAAGCATTCTATGTCTTGTTCTTTGCAGTGTCACAGCACATTTAGCTGATTAAATTTCAGATTCTTTCTAACAGAAATACTCACCTTTTGCCATATGTTCTTTACAGAAACTAGCTCCTGAAGTACAATTTTCAAGATAGACCTGTAAGATCTGTTGGTTAAACACAGAACATGGGGGTGTGCATGTATCCTGAATTTAGAACTGACTTGGCATTGATGTGGATATCTTTCAGGTATTTAGTGACAGATTTGGCCTTAACCTAAAAGAATCCTAGATCTTACACCAATGATTGCAGGTACCTTATCAGTATTTATTTTGCACTTAATATAATTGAAAATGAGTTGCACAAACTTCTCCTTACTCTCTGAAGTAAGGTGCAATCCATGTCTGGTGTGGTCATTTCTGTTCAAAGATAATACATGAATTAATAAGTATTGATCTGTCTGCATTCCAAAGTGCATGATCAAGTCTCTTATTTGTACTCCTCACCTCATCCACTTGCTCATATGTGACCTGCCATGATACCTGAGAGGACCAACAAAACCAAATTAGTATCATTGCTATTCATCACAATGAAGTCTGGAACATTTTTCAGTCTTGTAATTCAGGTCTGTATCTAGGCTATTACCTGGTCCTCCCACTATAATTCCATGAACATCTTTTGTAAAGTCTTTACTTGGTGTTCTGAGTTACCCAACAACATTGTCAAGTGTAGCATTGGGTTTGAATACATTTGTAACCATCCCCCAAGATTGAGTGAAAATGCTTATGTAGTCCTCTACAGTCACTGCTACCTTCCTACATTTCTTATTTTATTATTGTCTACAATTTTAATATCCTCCTTTTTCTTTAACTGGACAACTCCTTGAGGTTCTGATACAGTTAAGGCCTCAATTTTTCTGCTCAGACTTATATTCATGTTTGGATCCTCAATGGAGCAAAGACCTTTGTTTCTGCACTGCAATTTGGCTTCAAATTGTGCCCAATGAATGAACAAACAGTTTCCTCCTGGTCCCCAAGAGTCCTAGCCTTTTTACACATCCAAGAAAACCACGGCATGAAACGTCATGTTTAACACTCCCGGAAACAGGTTATTCTGAACAGGGTTTTTTTCGTGGTTTTCTCAGTTCCTTCCGTCTTTGCCGTGGTAATATAGTTGGACCAGTAGTTTTTGGCCAGTGGAATTTTCAAAGGGGAAGGCTAGAAATGAGTCACTTGTGCAATTGTATAATGTTTCATCTGCCTTCAGGAAGTACAGTCCATATGAATAAAACTGGACCTGATGTATACTTCCATAGGAGGCGGTGATAATCTTTACACACAATATTTTAAAACAAAAAATTCAGTGTTTTATCATAATAATTACACGCACGTAACACTAATCATCTTCTAATTCTTCTACCCCTGATATCCCACCCTCGCACTCATCACATTCACTGTCACTGTTGCTCATTCCGTTGTCAGTTATTATTATACTTTCAATCCTCTCTTCTATTATGCCTTCCTGTTCACAATACTGTCTTTCTAGTCTGTCTACATGTTCACAAACACTGATCCACGTGTCTTCTCCAGTATCTTCGAATCTCTGCTTGCAAAGATGTTTAACGTAATTTATCCTAAATGTTGTATTATTTGCCCCAACCCACTGCTTCACGTCCCCCCAGATTAATTCTATAGGGTTGAGATCTGGGTGATAAGGCAGAAGTCTCAACACTGTATGACCATTAGCAGCCATGATTTCAACTAGGAAGGTTTTATATTTCAGTTTGTAAGCTTTTACAATTTCATAAAGCTGTACTTTTAACATTGTCGCAAAATGGAATGTTTCTCACACGCAACCAGTTCTTCATTGTTTCATATTTGAATTTGATGTGGGGACCTTGTCCTTCTGTATTTTTGTATTTACATTCCTTAGATATTGGCCAAGGATGTAGACCAGGTCATAGCACAAATACAATACTTGTTTCTAGTACAAATATAAATACAAAGATATTACAGCTACTTACAGACTTTTGGAAATACAGTATTAAAGCAAAATAATTATGAGAACCATCACCATTATTACTCCCACACATTTATAAATTCTTCTACTGAGTAGGAGTGAGATAGGAGATACTCTTTTAATGCTGGATTAAACATTTTTATATCATGGTTTAAACTTTTTATAGTAGGTGGAAGATTACTGAATAACTTAATTCCAGCACAGTAAACTCCTTTTTGATATTTACTGAGGTTAGAAATCAGCATATGAAGGCTGTATTTTGTTCTTATATTGTAGATATCTGTATTTGTTTGAAATTTTTCCACATTATCCACTACAAATGATAATAGTGGGAGCAAGAGTTCACTGGGTAGTGGAAGAATATTAAACTTCAATAATTCCCTACAAGAGTCTCTCATTTTAGTGCCTGCCATTATTCTAATGATCCTCTTTTGAGTGTAAAATACTTTTTTGCTGTCCATTGAATTTCCCCAGGATTCCATATGACATGATGGAATGGAAGTAAGCAAAATAAACTAATTTTAAAGTTTCTGTTTTCATGAGTGCTGCAACTGTCCTCATAGCAAAACATGCCCAGCTTAGTTTAGGGATGATGTATTGAATAAATGTTATTATAGGAAGCATTATCAATCACACGTACAGAATTCAGTTGCAAATTTGGAATTAACGTATCTTTTAACCAACAAATGTAGTTCTCACCATTCATTCCATACCTTAAATTAGACCACGAACGCTTCATTCCACATCCTTTCCAATTCACTATATCCTCTTATTGGACGCTACATAGTCTGGGGCTACTGATAAATCGTCGTTAAATGAACGATAAATATAAAACAATGTCTCATTTACATCTATGTCACTAACATTGATGTTGGAACGTTGCCTGTAGAACCAGCAATTACAATTATCGCTTAATATACCTCGACACCTGCGGGTAAAAAGACGACTGAGTAGAAAAAAAGACTTTTTTCTGCCAGATTTCCCTACCGAACGAAGTTGAACAGTCTATATTATGTTGGTATTACCTGTAACACAGGTGTGGCATCATCAGAGTACAAATTAAATTCTGGAGTTGTGTGGAATTGAGGAACTGTAGAACGATTTTCTGTGAACCAGTCTTCTACTGCATCGAAATTGAAAGAATTTGTCGAAATCGTCACTAATATGTTGCCAGAATTCACGTCCATTCTTCTGGTTATTTTGCAGTAGGTTTCAGATAAATTGTGTATTTTGGTATCAATGATCTTGAGTCTCGCGCTAAAATTAGAATGCTGGTATACTGCAAAGTCATGTTTGTTATGAAGAGAGATCTTTTATTTTTGGAAATACCTTAAACAGGTGAAGCAAATCTTTGAAATATATTGACACATATATAATTACATTTAATATAAGGTCTCTTTCCGTATAAAGTTTTATTTTCTGTGTAATATTTTACAGTGTAACATAAGCATTATTTAGAGACCTTAGTGGTTAAGTGTAGGCTTCATTGCAATTTGTAATATGCAGTGGGTTAATTGCAGATAATTGCGAGGCTGATGAGTATAGCGTAACGAGAATGAATGTGAATATGTCCCCTGGAAGGAAAATATTAAGCGAAATCAATCATTTGGGAAAATGTGAAGATGGAACAAATCCATTATCTCCTACTGCAAATTTAAAATTACTCACGAAAGTTGCCAGCAGCCTCGAAAGGAATTGTACCACTGATGCTTGTATTAACAAGGAAGATGTTCCCAAAGTGAAGAAGCGATTGTCTTTGGGGTCTGTGCAGCAGCTACCAGATGAACATTTGAAATCGAGGAAAGAGAAATCTCTCAATTTATTATGCAACAGGTACTATATGTATATCTTAATTCTTTCTAAATAAATAGCAATAACAATGTAAGTTAATGTCCTAATGTTATAAATTTATGGTTAATGGGGACTCAGAAGGTTAAGCTTGGTTTAATTTTTTCAGCATACTTGACTTACTTGAGGGACTTCACTATATTCTTCACTTTTACTTTCTCTTTACTGTGTGTTATATAGACACTGATTTAGGTTTATAAGTGTGGTTGGTCTAATGTAATTCATGTCACACTTATCACAATGCTGAGGAAGAATTTTCTCTTAATTTCCAGAAATTATTAAATTTCTGACCCAAAATCATTCACATTTAAGCATCCAGTGACAAGTCAGCCACTGGACTTCTGTATAGTACATTATACCTTTGTATTCCATATCACATAAGTATTTACCAATTGTTTCAGAGGTCCTTGCTGCCTCCATCATCAGAGATGGAGGTAACAAGGACCTCTGAAACATTGGTAAACTTATGCTAGACTACACAGCACTATAACCCAGAAGACAGCCATGTTCCAAAATATGGAGTTTAATAATGGGGGGGTTCCAGAGAATTGTTGACATAGGTGTTAATTAAGTGCTGTCGACTGACTTGATTTATTTCAGTGTTGTGAATACCTGCCAAAAAATTACCTGCTCCAATATATCACACAATTTTTTGGTTTTAAGTATATATGATTTCACACTGTGTGTCATATATCTCTGAGTGTGATTAAAGTCACAGAAAAGGCAGTTTGGAGGCAGGGCATGGCAGTGAAGGCATGGGTTAAAAGCAATGACTATTCACCTGACATGTATCATCTGTTGAAGTCATGGAACACTTTCCTTAGAATATATCGATTCTTCACCTCTGCTGCTGCTGTCACTTTCTATACTTCTTAAATTGATGATTATTATGTCAGTTGTGTCATAACAATTCCTTGCCTCTTCTTCTTTTCCAGCTATTTTACTCGTTCTCACACTGGTTGCCAGCCCTCTTTTGTCATGCTGTGAAACGTTTCGTTAAATAGCCATCTAATATTTTCTGTCTAAGAGGAAATATTTTGTGGTGCAACCCATATCTTTGTTGTAGCCCATATACATACATTCATTGGGATTGAATTGTGTATGATATGATTATAAACATAATGGAGTGTGCCAATTGGTATCCAGGATCACATCAACAGAATATTGTACTTTGAGTTGGGCTTTAAATCTTTTGTAAGGGTGTATAGCATTTGTTTGAGCATATTTGTTTGTTGTTTTTGTCATCTTCCTCAATTTCAGCATGCAACAGCCACATTACACTTTGTATTTTTCATTATATCAGTCTGTACTTTTTATTATATGCATTGTCCCCCATTGCCTTGCTGCAGTGCTGTAATATCATACTGTTGCTTGCAGATTCCTACAGTTGTTCCCTCTGAATCTGTCACCTGGAGATTACATGGTGATTTCACTGGACCAGGCTGCCAACAACCTGGGAACAGAACGCAGGAGGATCTATGATATTGTAAATGTTTTGGAGAGTCTGCAGATGGCTGCAAAGGTAAACACACAGAAACATTTCTTATTCTGTTTTTAAATCCTTCCTCGCGGCATTCTGGCCCCAGCTTACATGATTGAATATAAGAAGTAAGCCCTTTTTGAAAAATATGCATTTCTTCAAAACTGTTTATGATAAAAATGTTAAAAGAGCATCTTTTTGCAAAGTGAACAAAATCCTGGAGACAGGTTAAAAAAAGGTCACAGGTATATGCTTTAACAAATCATCTCAAATATGAACCTGTTATAAATAAAGAAGGTAATATGTAGTTCATTTACTAATGTGGGTGCTGTGTGCTTTCACATTAACATACTGTCCTAAAAGATGTGTTTTAATATGATTCATAAAGCATAGGATAATACACAACCCACCTGCTGCTGTGATGTTTAAGTTTTTTTTTCTTAGAGAGATCTGATTGTTCATAAATTGTCATAATTGTTGTTAAGAGTAGGAAGCATAGAACATGGAGGAAACAGCATTGGTCACAAGTACTGCTTCATCTCTTCTACAGGAGAATTGCTGTAATAAGCAGCATAAAAATGGTGTGTGGACTTCAGTCTTTGTTGTTCTGATATGTGTGCTTGGCTGTCAAGTCAGATGTTCTACTGGTAATGGTATGGACGCTCCTAATGCATTGTTTCTTGTGGGTCCCCACTTTAAATGTCCATTCATTGTTGTACTCATCAGTATCTTGCATGTTTTCTTGGTGTGGATGACGTGTTCTTTGCAGGACCACATTAATAACCTATTGAATGGAATATAAAATAGGCATACAAACAAAACTGTTTACACTGTGAAGGACTCTAATGCCAAATGTGTTTCAAAAATAATAATAAAAGTAACTTTTTAGGCCTCACCATCCATAGACACACAAAAAAATTCCAATTGGGCATCTACAGGAAACCCACATACTCAGACATAGTAATACATAAAACATCTAACCATCCTAATTCTCACAAACAAGCTGCATTCAATTTCCTTGTGAACAGATTGCACAAAATACCATTCTGCAAAGAAGAATTTGATAAAGAAACTAAGCTCATCCTAGAAATAGGATACAACAACGGTTACAACTTTAATGATGTCATAAGATCCTATAACCTAATTAAAACACCTAAACCCCGTATCAGTGTACTCCAACCCACAACAAATGGTAAAATATGGTCCAGTTTCACATTCTTTGATAGTAATATTAGAACACTCACCAAAATATTCAAAAAAACGAATGTCAAAGTAGCCTACAAAGTCAGTAACACCATAAAATTCTTGTACAATTCAAAAAACAAGATAACAAATACAATAAAAGTGGTGTATACCAGTTAAAATGCGGTAGCTGCGAGCAGGTGTATATTGGCCAAACCGGTAGGGATTTCAAAAACAGATTTAAAGAACATGTCCACGACATTAGATTCAACTTAACAAAATCAAAATACGCCCAACACATTCTCGACCACGGACATGAACACGGCTCTATGGAAGACATCATGGACATGTTAAGAATAGCCTCGAAAGGTAAAATGCTTGATATTTTAGAAAAAATATATATACAGTAAAACCTCTCTAACTTGAACACTTGCGGTTCCCCGATAATGTGTCCAACTTACGGAGGTGTCCAGGATAGCGGGAAAGGAGAAAATCATCCTTTCAAATTGTGGTGTAATGACAAAGTGGTAATTGTAGAGTATTATGGAGCCCTTCCCAAAAAGGAAATTATTGATAAGAAAAATCAAAAGGGTAAATTAAATTTTTACAAATTTTGTTTTCAGTAAATTAAACTTGCATG